TGTATGACCTACACCGACCACACACATCAATGTATGACCTACATAGACCACACACATCAATGTATGACCTACACCGACCACACACATCAATGTATGACCTACATAGACCTCTTTATGGAGGCTGCAAGGATGAGGACTGTCCAATGTGAGGATCTGATTGGTTGCTGTGGATGATAAGGACTGTCTGAGACAATTCTTTGTCAGTATGGGTAACATAAGGCGGGGGCGGGGCAAGGCAGGGGGCGGGGCAAGGCAGGGGGGCGGGGCGGTCTCACCTGCGGGGAACCAGTGTGACTGCACCCGGTGGTTGGTGTTTTTGCTCGGAGACGTCAGGAGGTCCTTTTCCATCACAACCTCGAAGTTCAGGATGAACATGATGACGGCCCCATCCTCATTCTTCACCGGCACGACGTCCACCAGACACAGGAAGCAGCTCCCTGCAGGAGAGACAAAGGTATGACGTCACTATGACATCACACTGGAAGCCCCTCCCCCTGACATCCCCTACTCTCGGGGTCAGCAGATCTAATTGTAGCTTTTGCTGGGAAAAAGAGATTTACAAAAATGTCATCTGACTGCTAATCACACCAGATGGTCACATGACCGATTCCCCCTCTGACCTCGGAATCCACCCCCACTGTAGACAGGTCCCCCCCCCCCCCCCCCACTATATACAGGTCACCCCCCCACTATAGACAGACCACCCACCCCCACTATAGACAGGTCACCCCCCCACTATAGACAGACCACCCACCCCCCCTATAGACAGACCACCCACCCCCCACTGTAGACAGGACACCCCCCCCCCCGCTATAGACAGACCCCCCACTATAGACAGGACACCCCCCCCCGCTATAGACAGACCACCCACCCCCACTATAGACAGACCACCCACCCCCACTGTAGACAGGTCACCCCACCCCCCCACTACATACAGGTCACCCCCCCCCCCACTATATACAGATAGACAGACCCTCCACTATAGACAGACCACCCCCCCCCCACTATAGACAGGTCACCCCCCCCCACTATATACAGGTCACCCCCCCCCCCACTATAGACAGGTCACCCCCCCCCCACTATATACAGGTCCCCCCCCCACTATAGACAGACCACCCACCCCCACTATAGATAGGACCCCCCCCCGCACTATATACAGGTAACCCTCCACTATAGACAGACCACCCCCCCCAATATTGAAAGGTCACCCCCCCCACTATAGACAGACCACCCCCCCAATATTGAAAGGTCACCCACCCCCCCAATATTGAAAGGTCACATCCCCACTAAAAAGACAGGGTCATCCCCCAATGTAGACAGGTCACCCCCCCCCCCCCCACTATAGACAGACCACCCACCCCCACTGTAGACAGACCACCCCCCCCCACTATAGACAGATCACCCACCCCCCCACTATAAACAGGTCACCCCCCCCACTATAGACAGGTCACCCCCCCAATATAGACAGGTCACCCCCCCCCCACTATAGACAGGTCACCCCCCCACTATAGACAGACCACCACATCCCCACTAAAGACAGGGTCATCCCCCACTGTAGACAGGTCACCCCCCCCCCCCCCCCACTATAGACAGACCACCCACCCCCACTATAGACAGGTCACCCCCCCCACTATAGACAGGTCACCCCCCCCACTATAGACAGGTCCCCCCCCCCCACTATAGACAGGTCACCCCCCCGCACTATAGACAGACCACCCCCCCCCCACTATATAGACAGACCACCCCCCCCACTATAGACAGGTCACCCCCCCCCCCACTATAGACACACCACCCCCCCCACTATAGACAGGTCACCCCCCGCACTATAGACAGACCACCTACCCCCACTATAGACAGACTACCCCCCCCCCCACTATAGACAGGTCACCCCCCCACTATAGACAGGTCACCCCCCGCACTATAGACAGACCACCCACCCCCCTATACTATAGACAGGTCACCCCCCCACTATAGACAGACCACCCCCCCACTATAGACAGGTCACCCCCCCACTATAGACAGACTACCCCCCCCCCCACTATAGACAGGTCACCCCCCCCCCACTATAGACAGACCACCCCCCCACTATAGACAGACCACCCCCCCACTATAGACAGGTCATCCCCCCACTATATACAGGTCACCCCCTAGAAAGACGTCATTGAGGGGCCACACTGACAGTATACACAGATTTCTTCCTGACGTCCTTCTTTATCAGCAGACAAGATTTCAGATTCCATATTTCTCAAAAATGTCAAAGTATCAATTTTAATCCTTTACTGGAATTGGCCCCAAAGTGACGTCATCGCGCTGGAGGTCAGAGTTCGGTGATGTCACCCCAACGCTAATCGCCATCGCAACAATGCATATGTCCAACATGGCCGCCCACTGTGGAGTCCGATGATCAGGATTCCGATACGCAGTTCCAGCAATTCCACAATCAATGATCAATACAATCTGTGTGCAACGTGTTCCGGCTGTACCGTCCTCCAATATAATGTCCCATCATGGTACACTACATTGCCCCAAGTATTGTCCCCGCCTCCTAATCATGTGATTCAGGTGTTCCAATCCCCTCCATATCATGTGATTCAGGTGTTCCAATCCCCTCCATATCATGTGATTCAGGTGTTCCAATCCTGTCCATATCATGTGATTCAGGTGTTCCAATCCCCTCCCAATCATGTGATTCAGGTGTTCCAATCCCCTCCATATCATGTGATTCAGGTGTTCCAATCCCTTCCCAATCATGTGATTCAGGTGTTCCAATCCCCTCCCAATCATGTAATTCAGGTGGTCCAATCCCCTCCATATCATGTAATTCAGGTGTTCCAATCCCTTCCCAATCATGTGATTCAGGTGTTCCAATCCCCTCCATATCATGTGATTCAGGCGTTCCAATCCCCTCCATATCATGTGATTCAGGTGTTCCCATCCCCTCCATATCATGTGATTCAGGTGTTCCAATCCCTCCATATCATGTGATTCAGGTGTTCCCAATCCCCTCCATATCATGTGATTCAGGTGTTCCCATCCCCTCCAATCATGTGATTCAGGTGTTCCAATTCCCTCCATATCATGTGATTCAGGTGTTCCAATCCCCTCCATATCATGTGATTCAGGTGTTCCAATCCCCTCCATATCATGTGATTCAGGTGTTCCAATCCCCTCCATGGACACAGGTGTATACAATCAAGCCCCTAGGCATGCAGACGGCTTCTACAAACATTGGTGAAAGAATGGGTCCCTCTCAGGAGCTTAATGACTCCAAGCGTGGTCCCGTGATAGGTGGCCACCTGGGCAGTAAGTCCATCCGTGACATTTCCTGGCTACTAAATATTCCACGCTCAACTGTTAGTAGAATGACCTGGGACACTCAGTATAGGATCCAGACACTCAGAAGACCTGGGGTACTCAGTATAGGATCCAGACACTCAGAAGACCTGGGGTACTCATAGGTACTAGGATCCAGGATCCACTCAGAAGACCTGGGGTACTCAGTATAGGATCCAGAAGACCTGGGACACTCAGTATAGGATCCAGACACTCAGAAGGGACACTCAGTATAGGATCCAGACACTCAGAAGACCTGGGACACTCAGTATAGGATCCAGACACTCAGAAGACCTGGGACACTCAGTATAGGATCCAGACACTCAGAAGACCTGGGACACTCAGTATAGGATCCAGACACTCAGAAGACCTGGGTACTCAGTATAGGATCCAGACACTCAGAAGACCTGGGACACTCAGTATAGGATCCAGACACTCAGAAGACCTGGGACACTCAGTATAGGATCCAGACACTCAGAAGACTGGGACACTCAGTATAGGGACACTCACCTGGGACACTCAGTATAGGATCCAGACACTCAGAAGACCTGGGGTACTCAGTATAGGATCCAGACACTCAGAAGACCTGGGACACTCAGTATAGGATCCAGACACTCAGAAGACCTGGGACACTCAGTATTGGATCCAGACACTCAGAAGACCTGGGGTACTCAGTATTGGATCCAGACACTCAGAAGACCTGGGACACTCAGTATTGGATCCAGACACTCAGAAGACCTGGGACACTCAGTATTGGATCCAGACACTCAGAAGAAGACCTGGGACACTCAGTATTGGATCCAGACACTCAGAAGACCTGGGACACTCAGTATAGGATCCAGACACTCAGAAGACCTGGGACACTCAGTATTGGATCCAGACACTCAGAAGACCTGGGACACTCAGTATAGGATCCAGACACTCAGAAGACCTGGGACACTCAGTATAGGATCCAGACACTCAGAAGACCTGGGGACACTCAGTATAGGATCCAGACACTCTCAGAAGACCTGGGGTACTCAGTAGAAGAACTTTAGCATTCAACAGAAGAGCCGGGTTGCTCATTAAAAAACTCAGGGCACTCAGAAGTAGACCCATTGTACTCAGAAGAAGCACAAAATAGGAGACCTGGGGTACTCAGCAAAAGACCAGGAGCACTCAGTAGTAGACAGGAGGCACACAGTAGAAGACCTGCTCACCTACTTTCTGTCTCCTGCTAATTCAGATTTGGAAGCTAAAGTTAAGGTTTTTTTTTTTTTATTTTCTATTTTATAAAAATTAGGAGACTTGAAGTACCTATTGGAAGACTTAGGACACTCAGATGAAGACATTGGACACTCAATGGAAGGCCCGGGCACTCAGAAGAAGACCAAGGACACTCAGCAGAACATGAGAAGCACTCAAATGAAGACCAGGTGCACTTGGAAGAAGATCCGAGGCACTCAGAAAAAGACCCAAGACATTCAGCAGAAGACCTGGGGCACCTAGTAGAAGACCTAGGGCACTTAGCAGGACACTTTGGGCATTCAAAAAATTAAGTGTACTCAGTAAAAGACCCAGGCACTTAGCAGAAGACCGGGGAGCAACTAATAGAAGACATGGGACACTCAGTAGAATACATAGGGCACTTATTAGAAGACAGGGCACTCAGTGGAACACCTAGGACACCCAGATGAAGACATGAAGACATACACAGAATATAACTGGATAGAACATTTATAGGGAAAGTTGATCCAGGGAATATCCGATTGCCTCTCGGGGGATCAGGAAGGAATGTTTTTCCCTGCAGGAGGAGATCGGATCGTGCTTTGCTGGGTTTTTTTGCCTTCCTCTGGATCAACTGTGGGTGGAGGATTATAAATCTTTTTTTTTTTTTTTTAATGGTTGACCTGGATGGACTTTTGTCTTTTTTCAGCCAGAATAACTATGGAACTATGGAACATGGGACACTCAGCAGAAGGCCCGAGTCACTCAACAGAAGACCTTAGACACTCAGTACACGATCAAGACACTTGGAAGAAGACATGTAGCATTCAGTATTAGATCCAGACACTCAGAAGAAGACCTGGGGCACTCAGTATTAGATCCAGACACTCAGAAGAAGACCTGGGGCACTCAGTATTAGATCCAGACAGTCAGAAGAAGACCTGGGGCACTCAGGATTAGATCCAGACACTCAGAAGAAGACCTGGAGCACTCTGTATTAGACTGCAAAGTAAAACAACAAGAAGCGCACCAACCTCTGAGGAAGAAGGCATGACCTTCGAAACGCGTCAGCTGAACTGAGTACCTATACCCATGATGGGATTCGCGCTGGCCTCGTACCTTTGAAGTCCCTTGGTGGACTTACATGCCTATTTTTATTCGCTGTTTGTGAGTACCTTTCCTTCATTTAATAAATTTTTGTTACTGAGGTAATGCACAAGGTTGGTGCGCTTCTTGTTGTTTTACTTTGCAGTTTGTTCGGGCTCCCCCAGCCTTGGTTTGGAGCTGCACGACCTTGGATACTCCGGTGGTTGCTTCTCTGGAGGTTTTAATTCCATCTACTCGCCACCGGCCTGGGTCCCGGAGCGCAGGAGAATTCTTTTTTGGTTTATTGCACTCTGTATTAGATCCAGACATTCAGAAGAAGACCTAGGGCACTCAGTATTAGATCCTGACATTCAGAAGACCTGGGGCACTCAGTATTAGATCCTGACATTCAGAAGACCTGGGGCACTCAGTATTAGATCCTGACATTCAGAAGACCTGGGGCACTCAGTATTAGATCCTGACATTCAGAAGACCTGGGGCACTCTGTATTATATCCTGACACTCAGAAGAAGACCTGGGGCACTTTGAATTAGATCCTGACACTCAGAAGAAGACCTGGGGCACTCAGGATTAGATCCATACACTCAGAAGAAGACCTGGGGCACTCAGGATTAGATCCAGACACTCAGAAGAAGACCTGGGGCACTTTGAATTAGATCCTGACACTCAGAAGAAGACCTGGGGCACTCAGGATTAGATCCAGACACTCAGAAGAAGACCTGGGGCACTCAGTATTAGATCCATGACACTCAGAAGAAGACCTGGGGCACTTTGAATTAGATCCTGACACTCAGAAGAAGACCTGGGGCACTCTGTATTAGATCCAGACATTCAGAAGAAGACCTAGGGCACTCAGTATTAGATCCTGACATTCAGAAGACCTGGGGCACTCTGTATTAGATCCTGACACTCAGAAGAAGACCTGGGGCACTTGAATTAGATCCTGACACTCAGAAGAAGACCTGGGGCACTCTGTATTAGATCCAGACACTCAGAGGAAGACCTGGGGCACTCAGGATTAGATCCAGACACTCAGAAGAAGACCTGGGGCACTCAGTATTAGATCCATACACTCAGAAGAAGACCTGGGGCACTCAGATTAGATCCAGACACTCAGAAGAAGACCTGGGGCACTCATTATTAGATCCAGACGCTCAGAAGAAGACCTGGGGCACTCAGGATTAGATCCAGACACTCAGAAGAATACCTGGGGCACTCAGGATTAGATCCAGACATTCAGAAGAAGACCTAGGGCACTCTGTATTAGATCCTGACACTCAGAAGAAGACCTGGGGCATTCTGTATTAGATCCAGACACTCAGAAGAAGACCTGGGGCACTCTGTATTAGATCCAGACACTCAGAGGAAGACCTGGGGCACTCAACAGAAGACCTTAGACATTCAGTTCATGATGAAGACACTCGGAAGAAGACATAGAGCACTCTGTATTAGATCCAGACACTCAGAAGAAGACCTGGGGCACTCAGTATTAGATCCAGATGCTCAGAAGAAGACCTCGGGCACTCAGGTTAGATCCAGATACTCAGAAGAAGACCTGGGGTCACTCAGTAGTAGATCCAGATACTCAGAAGAAGACCTGGGACACTCAGTATTAGATCCTGACACTCAGAAGAAGACTTGGGGCACTCAGTATTAGATCCAGACACTCAGAAGAAGACCTGGGGCACTCAGTATTAGATCCAGATACTCAGAAGAAGACCTGGGGCACTCAACAGAAGACCTTAGACATTCAGTACATGATGAAGACACTCGGAAGAAGACATGGAACACTCTGTATTAGATCCAGACACTCAGAAGAAGACCTGGGGCACACTCAGTATTAGATCCAGACACTCTAGAAGACCTAAGGCACTCTCTATTAGATCCCCATATGAGCATGTGTGGGTGAATGCCGATGCAGAAGCCATCAATGTTTACCTCTCCACAGCCGCATACAGCTACTGACTGGTATTGGCAGCTGTACACAACACATGCGGCTCCCTGGGCACCAGACAGTGCCAGAGATTTTAAGCCTCAGCACACAAGAGCTGCAAAGCGTCCATGTGCATGAGGCCTTAACCTTTCCGAATGTGCCTGTTTGTATATTCAGCACATCAACTTCCATGAGCAGCTAAGCAGATTCTCCATGGCAAGCAAAAGGTTTGTTTTTTTGCCTCCCCCCTCCCCCCCACAACATAAATAGTCACTTGTAAAAAACAGTTCACCCAAAAGAAGATATCCCAACCAGGGACACACAACAGAAGACAACTAAGAATGCTGGGGCACCCAGGACATTCAGCAGAAGACTTTGAGCATTCAACAGCAAAGTTAGGGTACTTCACAAAAGACTCAGGGCAGAAGATCCAGGTTAATCAGAAGAAGACCCAAAGCACTTAATAGGAGACCTTGGGTTCTCAGTAGAAATGGAACAGTTACTGTAGAAGAAGATCCAGTGCACTTATCAGGAGACCAGGGCCGTTCAGTAGAAGGCCTTGGATAC